TTACCAGAATCATCTTCCTCTTCCGACTTAGGGAGGTCGTAGGAGATATCTACTTCGCAACTCCAGGAGGCTTAGGAAATGCCAACTTGAGGAAAGAACGCAAAAGCCGCATAGTACGTATGTCAACATCCTAGAATCCTTTCAGTCTGGCGCTGCATTTGGCCCCCAGGTAGTGGTTCGGGTTTCGCCATCTCTCATCTTTCTCTCACTTTCTTGCCAGTGCCGCTGTACAGCGCTCCCTGTTTCAAAGCCTCCCTCGCGATCTTGACTACTCATCGGGCATCAGCAGATATCAAAGCTCACTAAAAGGCACAGGCACGCGTATAAACATGGGCACGATGAAGAAGCAGTCGAATAGGCCTAAGAAACGGATTCTGGTTCGTTGGGATTGTAAGTCTTCCCTTCCTGTTGCAGGCATGTTCAATCAGTGGAAACCGAGCTGACTTCTTCGACAGCCGATTTAGACGAGCTGCTCCTCCTGACAATACAGTCTGTCTGTAACACAAAAAATGTGAAGATTCCATGGGCAGATGTTGCGTCCACGATGGGCCACAACGTCACAGATGGAGCAATAGTCCAGCACTTATCCAAACTCCGCAGTCGCCGGGTTGAAGGTGGTAAAGTCGTCCCTCCACCACTTCGACGGGGCGGCATCGGAGCTCCAAACAAAGCTTCAAACGCGTCCACAACATACTCCAGAGGAGGTGCTCGGCACAGGATGCGCAACGCGCGGCAGTCCGACAGCGCGGCAGAGCCATCTGACCTTGCACAAGATACTGATGTTTCATCTGACGAAGAGTACGTTGTTAGACGCCACTCAAAGGCTCAGAGAAACGCTGCAAACAGCAAGAGCTCGAGAGTCGAAAGCAAGGAAGACCACAAAGTTCAGCCCCAGTCCGCAAGTGACCAGGACGCCGAAGGCAGTCCGATTGGCTCCGAAGACTTAGTGGTATCTGGTGCCCAATTTCTTGAGTATCCCAACCACAGGGGGGGTCGGAATCGTTCCCACCCTCGTCTGCAAAAGCGGAGCAAGGTGGTTGTTCTGAGATACAGGCGTGGAACGCAGCCTAAAAGCGAAAAGCCTGTCAAAGTCGAGAGTCCAGAACATACTACGGTCAGCGCTTTCGATCCTCACAATCAGAGTCTACTTGACCAGCAATTGTATCAGGATCTTCATGGCACAGACAATTCAAATTCCATGGGTGCGGCAGATACCCATAGCATGGGTGGGAATCATTTGTCCGCAGGTCACGCCAACATGGGCATGTCGTCCATCCCAAATTCAAACTCCAATTTCCTGGATTTTGCGGCTAGCCAGGGTCTACATGTGAATGCTTATCAGAACTTTTATCCCAGTTCACAGAACGAGCAGCTCGGCTTTGTTCCGAACGCCTTGAATCATCTGAATCTCCAGCAGAGTGAGCAAATGGACATTGCTCCAGGGGAGCAGAGCATGTATTTTGACGACCTTTTTCAGTACATACATGCCAATGATGGGCATAAAGGCAATAGTGGGGCCAACTTTGGAGGTCCGGGGGCCATGGATCCCTTTGTCTGATTCTTCCTGACAGAATCATATGGCTCAGTGTCAATTTTCAAAGACCTTGGATACCCAGGCTCAATACTTATGTGGCCTCGCTACGATTTAGCATTTCGTTGGAATCTTTTCTCTTACCAACTGAGCTTTCTGCATGGTCAGCCTCGTTGAGGATGCACAATAATTGGGCAAAGCTGGGAATCGTGGTTCAGGAATTCTTCTGGCTTTTTCATGATCTTCGCTCTTTGGAATGACTTTGTGAGCACCTGCTTATTCTGCATCATACCCGACTAGATTGTTTTTTTTTTCTTCTTGCATATTTTCGTTGCTTTGCAGTGCTTTAGCTTTCGTTTCGTTGCAATTGCTTCCGTGAATCAGCTCTCGGTCTTTCAAGTTTTCAACCATTTCACAGCATGGAACACGGCGATTGGATGTCTTCTAACCTTACCGAACATATCACCTCCATTTTTACAAATATGATAAAGTCTTGCTTTACCTTCGGAGGAAGAAAAAGGCGTATACACATTCGTAACCATACAGAGCAGAGAGAGTATATGACATTCTAAGGCGGAAATTTCGGCTGCATCGCGGACTGGATAGAAGTGATTTGACTGTTCAATGACAATTGTTAATCATACCTGCATCTTTTACTTTACAAAGAGCCATCTGGAGGCTATCCGAATAATGCTCAGATACTGTTGCCCTTCGGCATCTGTGTACGAATTTCCCCTTCCGACGATCCGAGAACGTCCCTCGGGAAGGCGACACGTGACCTTCTAGGAGCTTCTCCCGCCAAGACATCCGGGGATCGAGAACCGCCTGGAAAAATTTCGAGACTTTGGCTTCATCTCCCCAGCTTTCATCTCCATTCCATCCTCCTTATCTTCTGTTCCCCCTCTTCTCTTCCTTCTCTGCACCTGTTCTTGCTCTGGGAGGTTCGATCGGGCAGTAGTCGTTCATCTTAACGTTGATTATCTTCTCTTCTATCCCGTCCTTCTATCACTCTTCTTCCATAATGCAGAGAGCTCTTTCTTCCAGGACGTCTGTCCTCTCCGCTGCCTCCAAGCGGGCTGCTTTCACCAAGCCCGCTGGCCTTAACCTGCAGCAGCAGCGTTTTGCCCACAAGGTATGTTTTTATCTGCAATCTACAATTCTAAGCTCTTGAAGCGGTGCCAATTTCTCTTCCGTGTTACCCGGAGCTCACCCCCGATACCTTGCTAACGACCTTCTCAGGAGCTCAAGTTCGGTGTCGAAGCCCGTGCTCAGCTCCTCAAGGGTGTTGACACTCTGGCCAAGGCCGTGACCTCGACTCTTGGTCCTAAGGGTCGTAACGTCCTTATCGAGTCTCCCTATGGCTCTCCTAAGATCACCAAGGGTATGTTTGACTCGAGTTAGCCCGAATCGCTGCTTTCACCTATAGTGAAAACGAATTGTGTACTGACTGAAATAGATGGTGTCTCTGTTGCCAAGGCCATCACTCTCCAAGACAAGTTCGAGAACCTCGGTGCTCGCCTCCTCCAGGATGTCGCTTCTAAGACCAACGAGATTGCTGGTGACGGTACCACCACCGCTACCGTCCTTGCCCGTGCCATCTTCTCTGAGACCGTGAAGAACGTTGCTGCTGGCTGCAACCCCATGGATCTGCGCCGTGGTATCCAGGCTGCTGTTGATGCTGTCGTCGACTACCTCCAGAAGAACAAGCGTGACATTACCACCGGTGAGGAGATCGCTCAGGTTGCTACTATCTCCGCCAACGGTGACACCCACATCGGTAAGCTGATCTCCACCGCCATGGAGCGTGTCGGCAAGGAGGGTGTCATCACTGTCAAGGAGGGCAAGACCATTGAGGATGAGCTGGAGGTCACTGAGGGTATGCGCTTCGACCGTGGATACACCTCCCCCTACTTCATCACCGATGCCAAGTCCCAGAAGGTTGAGTTCGAGAAGCCCCTGATTCTGCTGTCTGAGAAGAAGATCTCTGCCGTTCAGGACATCATCCCCGCCCTTGAGGCCTCCACCACCCTCCGCCGCCCCCTGGTCATCATCGCCGAGGACATTGAGGGTGAGGCTCTCGCCGTCTGCATTCTGAACAAGCTCCGTGGCCAGCTGCAGGTCGCTGCCGTCAAGGCTCCCGGATTCGGTGACAACCGCAAGAGCATCCTTGGCGATCTTGCCGTCCTTACCAACGGTACCGTCTTCACTGATGAGCTCGACATCAAGCTCGAGAAGCTCACCCCCGACATGCTTGGTTCCACCGGCGCCATCACCATCACCAAGGAGGATACCATCATCCTGAACGGTGAGGGCAGCAAGGACGCCATTGCCCAGCGCTGCGAGCAGATCCGCGGTGTCATGGCGGACCCCAGCACCTCTGAATACGAGAAGGAGAAGCTCCAGGAGCGTCTGGCCAAGCTCTCTGGCGGTGTTGCCGTCATCAAGGTCGGTGGTGCCTCCGAGGTTGAGGTCGGTGAGAAGAAGGACCGTGTTGTCGATGCTCTCAACGCTACCCGTGCTGCTGTTGAGGAGGGTATCCTCCCCGGTGGTGGTACCGCCCTTCTCAAGGCCGCCGCCAACGGCCTTGACAATGTCAAGCCCGAGAACTTCGACCAGCAACTCGGTGTCAGCATCATCAAGAACGCCATCACCCGCCCCGCTCGCACCATTGTTGAGAACGCCGGCCTCGAGGGCAGCGTCATTGTCGGCAAGCTGACCGACGAGTTCGCCAAGGACTTCAACCGCGGTTTCGACAGCTCCAAGGGCGAGTACGTCGACATGATCTCCAGCGGTATCCTCGATCCTCTCAAGGTCGTTCGCACCGCTCTGCTCGATGCCAGCGGTGTCGCCTCCCTGCTCGGTACCACCGAGGTTGCCATCGTTGAGGCCCCTGAGGAGAAGGGCCCTGCTGCTCCCGGCGGCATGGGTGGTATGGGCGGTATGGGCGGCATGGGTGGCGGCATGTTCTAAGCTGCTCCCAGCCCCCTTTGCTAGCCTAGCCTCTTCCATGATTAAAAGGTTTCTCTTCCCTTCGAGCGTGTCTTTGCATGTACGAGCATTTTCTGATATATCGGTGTTGAGAATTTTCTGTAATATTTCCTTTGTTTCTGATGTGTTACACGCCTTGACAGCCCCTTTACCTACTCCGACTTCGTCCTATACCTCGATACTCATATCTACCTCTTCGATCCGCCTCCCCTTTGATTGGCTCGATCAAATCTCCACTCCATCCCATTGGGCATAAAAAGTCTCAGGGAGTCCTGTGTATCATATATGTACTTTATGTAGTCTACGACAGCTTTGGAGCTGTGGTGGTCGTGCCTCAATTACTAAAATTAATTGTTCACGGCATTCTCTCTTCAGTTTCTGTAATCTTCACGTAGGTTTGCTACTCGGTTCTCGACGGCCTAGTCATACAGTAATGATCAAAAAGACGCTAGCATGCAGCCATAGGCGCATGCAAGCATATCTAAGCCGAGATTCCCTGCCGACTCGACTCTCTCAGCTTCGTGGAGTAATCGTATCCCGGCGGCATCATCTCGTACTCTGCCACAGGTGGCAGCGGCGAAATCATCCAATCAGGATGCTGTTTCCAGATATCATCCTCTAATTGCCTGCGATACCGCCGGGAGGACAGATAGCGATCAAAGCGGTTCTTTTGATGATGCACGTCCAAGGGCTCTTCTGGAGATCTGGACAGATGAAGAACCTTCTTAGCGGGAGATAGGAGGAAGTCTCGAGCCATTCCGAAGAGGATTGCGTGTGCCTTGGCAACAGTCTCCCGGAGTGTCTCGTTGAAGGCTAAGAGTAGGGCGATAACGATGATTGCGACTGATGACGGGCCTACAGCATAGCGTTAGAGGTGTCTAATTACCGTAGCTTAAGAAGACATGAATCATGGTCCTTACCTGCAATCAGAAACATTTGACGGAAATCGGGATTTGTCTCAGTGCCGCTCCATTCTTGAACATTGATGCCGAATAAGGATGTGAAAAAGGAGAGAGGTAAGAATCTGTGCCGGATGAGCAATTGGATGAGACGGTGAGCTGTGGAGCAGATGCAACTTACATGACAGTGAAGATTGTAAAAACCATCACGGACCGTGACTGGGTTTGGGTTACTTCTGCCTCCCACCGAGCCAGTCGTGATTCATCGACGTTGGCTTGCTCCTGCTTCAAGTCGAGAAGATTCTCTACCTGTGTCCAAAAGTCAGCGAACGGCGCCATGGTGGACGTCGAAAGTGCTTACGGCTTTCTGGGCCAGGATGGTATTCTCCCTCATTTCCTGGACTTGGTTGCGATATTCGTCGAGCCTGGCCAGCGTGGCTTCGACAAAGATCTTGCCATATCCCCTGTCTTCGAAGTACCTAGCCATGGTCTTGACTGTTGTGGTTTGCTGTTCGAGAAGATTCATGATCGTTCCTAGTTCATCCATAATATCCCTCAGTTCCAGTAGCGCAGACAGATCTTCTCGGTTCTGTCTTGCTACACGGATATCTCTTTCATCACGCTCCGCCTCAGTCATTGTTCTTCCATCGGCCGTTTTGTTGTGTTGAGCAGGGTTAATGGTAAACCCGCGACTTCGGAACCGCTTAAATGACTTGGTCACTGATTCTGTCTGACTCTTGGTCAGTCAGCTATCGAGACGTGCACGCTATGTAATCCTTACCAAGATGCTGATGGACTCTTCGAAAATTCGGAGGATTTGTAGGTCATGGTGCAAGGTCCTGTCAAGTAGAACAGTGACAGCATGTTGTACTATGAGCGCAGCAAGATCACCAGCAGTCTCGAAACGCCGTGCCAGATCTCCATTGAGTTCATTATAGATACTGTTGTGTAAGTTTGCTTGTTCATAGAGCCTACCCTCGGATGTTGTAGCCTCTTGGTTGGGGAAAAAGGTCACGACCGTTCTCTGGTCCAATATCCAAAGCCATAGCTGGTCTACCATGAGAACTTTGCCATCCTCAAAAACGTCCGGAACGCTTGAATCACTTTCCAATCTCACTGAATCCCCTATCTCATCCTTGAGATTGATTGGTTTCCTCGTCCTTTTCCAGAGCATTTGATCATCATCTCGGGCAGCAGTAGATCTCAGGTTGGGGTATCCAAACTGGTCCAACGTTCTCCTGATGTGAATTGGAGGCTCACTTCCGAGGAACTTCCAAATCAATTTTGATTCCAAATGCGCCTTGGATATTTTGTCTGGTACGGGTCTGGATCTTCCTTGCCGCAGTCGGTCTTGCACAACTCTCCGGCGTTGTATTAGATTCCAGTACGTATCCCAATGAAGCTGGCTGCTTTTCAGCATGTGTCAAAATAAGCGCGCGTGTACAGACCTACATATGGCATCTGCCAGATACGGATGATTAGCAATTATCTTGATCGATTATGGCCGAAACTCACATATAGAGCGAGCTGAGGGTCCTCCATGACTCTTGGTGGATTGCTGGGCGAGGCATCATTCTGCCGGGAATGGATGCACGAAGGGCGTACATAACGAGCGTGAGGTTCAAGGTGACGGGCTCTGATCAGCTTTGAAAACCAATTTTCCTCATTTATGAACATGCTCAGACTGAACCTCGACGGAATACTTAGCGCCTGCCCATGGCCATAAATAGAAAAACTGGAACCGCAAAAGCACTTACAAATGTGGGATTTGACGATCCGCACAGGCTTTAGCAAGTATGGAAGGTACCCAACCAGTATGTGTATAAGGAACGTGTATCCATAGAAGCTTTTCGCTTTCAGGTTCTGGTCGGTCAAATCGAGGTGCCGCTCGAGGCCTGTCTGCTCCCATCATGTTCCGTTGACCTCGTTTCGGGAGCGGCACAGGGAGGAGCCCTTTATATCTTGATGTTACATTACTGTGCCTTTCCTTAGCTGAGCTGTTTTCATATAAGTTGCAGAACGCTCACACACAGTAATTTTGTTTGGCTCGCTTTGGCATGGGAGCTCTCATTCGGAACCTCTCCCGCTTCACTGTCACTACCTTCGTTCTGAGGGGTGTCTCCCTGCTGTACTACCGGCTCATCTAGCTGGAAGCTAACGTTCCCGTCGCCTAACTCAAGATAGCTTTCGGTACTGGGCTCGCTGATATGAATTCTCGGAGAAGCCATGGGCATGAAACTGCGACTCTTTTTGAGAGAAGGACTGGGCTGGATTTGTTCGGCTTTCTCGCTCGTCACATTCACTGGCTCATCGGGTTCTGACTCTGAATGAATAGACGATCGTCGGCTGTCAAAGCTGCTCACTGAGGAATCATCCAGAGAGCCAGGCGGCATCTTGCTGGTCTTGCTTAGCCTATCTCTGAGGCACTCGGACGGGCCCCTTGACAGATAATCATGGAGTGTTACTTTGGTAGACCAAAGCTTCAGAGGCGTCTCCTCGCTGACTCCAAGTACAGGATCTTCAAAGAACCCATTGACCTGAACCATGACTTCCTTTTTGACATGGAGTGGCTCATCCACAAGAGCAGACAGTCGTACTGCCATGGAGACGGATGATTGAAGCTCCTTTATGAAGCTCATCCTTGTAGACTTCTCTTGACCCTTGAAGTATGCTGCTCCTACATGATCAGTAGCGAGAGGTATTTCTTTCTCATGCTCCAGACCTAGTAGGCCAGATCGAATGGAGGTGATTGGTACGTGAACTTCGGCAGTGGCGCTCATTTCCGACTTTGCGATATTGATGGTGGAATCAACAGTCTCCAGGAAGGTCCAGACTTTCAAATCCGCCGAGATCGCCTTGAACTGATTGGAAAGATGTATGAGTTGTCGATGTCGAGGCTTTAAAATTTCCCGCAGATGATGCGGGATGCTATACTTCAATCTCATTATGCCACAAATACTTTGGGTATATTCTGGAGCGTATAGGTAGGTCGATCCCTGATGTGGAGTGGCGAAGAAAGCTATTCCGTGACAGCTCGACAGGATAGACTCCATATTCGACGATGCTTGGCTGGCAATGACCAAGGCCGCCTTAGCTACCAATCCACCGGTGCTATGGCAGATGAAGAAGACGGGTCGTCGACTCCTCTGAGCAAGAAGTCAGTACATGATTCAATCTTTAAGCACAACATGACCTACAGTGCTAAGTCGCCGCTGGTGGAGCTGGTTCAGCAGATTATGAGCCAGCGAATTCAAGTCATCGCGAGCGCCGGGCTCTCCATGATCATATAGTAGCACCCGCGCATTTGGTATCTCCCTCGTGAGGTCCGACATAAGCCATGGCTCGTTACAGTCATCGCCGAACCAGGTATTCCATGGGTCAGATCCTATGGCAGGAACAGCGACGATGCTGGAAGAGATCAGTCCTTGACGTTCTAAAGGTCAGTTTAATGGCATTTTGGGCTTACTCGACATCTGAAGAATGGACAGAATTCCTAACCGTGAATCGACCGCTTAGGTCGCCTTGGGAGTTATTCTGCGCCATAACTCGGAACCCCCTCGAGTAATAGCAGTGCTGTAACCGATATCCATCTGAAAGAACAGACGCAAGATGAAATCCATCCAGGAGGCTGCCATCTAGAAAGACACAGAAATAGCGACCATCATCTGACTCATGTGGAAGGCTGCGGCAGGTGACATCCTCCGCGCTGACAGCCTTGTCTCTCCAGCCTCGTCAACAGGGCCCATATGCACTTCACTAGCGGAAGATTAGCGATCACCTCGGGGGCTCGGTATACTCATAGACCTTGCCAAAGATCTCGCCCCGCATTTTAGTGTCGTTCGGACTTCTGAGGTCAAATCATCAAGAACACAGATCATCTGAGCCTTTCGACTATCCGACGATCGCCCAGTGTCATGGTTGTCAAGTTTTATGTTCGTGCCGAAATTGAACGTCTAGCTTTGACTGGCTGGAGTCCTGTTCGTTCTTTCTATGCTGTGGTGAGAATCGGTGAGCATATGCAGTAGTGTCATCGTGACCTTTCCCACACGGACGCGGTAGGCTAAAAGAACTGGTGAGTAGGACTATCTTATGCACAAAGACTGTTTACAAAGATGAGAGATGAAGATCTGTAATGGAAAATTGACTTGCTGGAATGTAAGAAAGGTGAGTACATCTGCCGGGTGGCTGAGAAGGATAAGATACGCCTGGCGGCCTCGTGATCTCGCAATGTTGTACTTCCGCGTCGAGCAGATCGCTATTGATGAATTGAAAGTACGTTACTAAAGCCCAAATTAAGCTTCATAGCAGTGGCAAATTCGATCAGTGAGGAGGAAAGATTTGTCTCGCCATATTGTTATCCAGAGAAGAAAGGTACTCCGGCCCAACTTCCCCAAAGATTATGTACACAATTTGGACTGCGATAATTTCGCAAGAACGATTGATAAAACCCTTTTCCAAGACGCTAGAAACAAACGTACACGTTAGATGCTCTATAAGGCGGCATGCCATGCGGTATCATCAGACATTAATCAAAAGATGAACAATCAACGAACCCAATTGCTCGCTGGATAAATAGTTATACAATGATGCTGGTACATGGGAAGGAGGGATTGATGCAAAATGATATGGAGTGGGAATGTGAGAGGCCAGAGGAGATGATCTCCAAGTGCCGTTCAACGTCCATGGTCACGGGTAGCGGCCTACTTCCGGCGAAGGGTGGCTACCAGATGCTTGAAGCTGGTAGAGCGTAAATGTGACTTCCGTCCGATCTTTGTTATACGGAGTCGGAATGAGCTTCATCAGCCAACTGTCGTCTCTCGTTAACGCCCCGTGCCATCTTCTTTCCAAGTTCATACGTGGAAATCATGATAGCACAAGCAGGCGCCACCTTCAAGCAACGCGCAACCCAACCGCGGAAAAGGCCTGCCATGCCTTCTTCACGGAAGATGTGCATAAGAAACTTAGGCAGAGACAGCTGCTCAGGTCGAAGTGTTTCCGGCGCTACGCTGCCTCGCAAACTGCTTGGACCGCCATCACCCATGTGTCGGAACACCTGCTGGCGCGTTTTGCCAACGTCAAATGGAGTGGTAACGAATGCCGCCAGAGAACCAGACAATGCGCCAGATAGAAAGCTTTCGAGAAAAGTCGGGGTATCTAGATCATGTTGAAGAGCCGAGGACGAAGTATGAGGCAGGAGATGATGGTTGTAGGCTTCCCTGCGCAGATCGAGAAGATAGCGTTTGCATTCCTCGTATCCCCACCAGTATAATCCAGAAAATGGAACATCGCGCCACATTGTGAGTGTCAATCCGCGCCAGAGAGCCCTATAGCCATGCACCTGGGTCATTTGATGCAGATCCTCCAACGTCGCCTTGAAATGCCCTGCACCCGTACCGGGAGTGGCCTGCAGACGCGTCCGAAACATCTCAATCGGGCTGATAGCTGACGCAGCGGCGATTCTCGCGACAGAGCCGGCAACTAAGGGAGCGTAGGCGGCGGGAAAGAATCGTCTGATGGGACTTTTTTCATCAGAGCGTAACCAATCGTATCCAGCAAAGTAGATGACATTGGCAGGAATGCTCATCATCAATGTGGGACTAAGTCCACGCCAAAGTGCCAGAGTGCCTTCATTCCGGGCGATCTTGCGTAGGCCATCCAAAGTGGAGGTAAACGTCCTGCGCTGCGTTTCTTCGACTGCACAGTCCGCTACGGCCGGCGCAGAGTTTCCTATGGTCCCGGCGCCTGGACCTACCATACACACTTGTGGATCTTGACCGAACCAGAACACTTCGCGGCAACAAGCAGTTACTCCCAGATTCGGTGGCAAGTGTTTTAGCGTCTGGGTTGTGTGAGAGGTGTAAGGGGATGCATTTTGAACGGAAGATTGTGATTGAAGTCGGACACGGACGACGTCAAGAGGAGTTGCTGAAAACAATCAATCAGTATCTCAACTGCTCCAAATTTATGCAGCGAATGTAACTCACCTAGTAAAGCCGTCAGGATGCTACCGCCTGTGGCCGATACCATGCGCTGTGTGATTGAAATGTCACCATCCTTTCGCTCAGTCACTGGAGCAGGGCCTGTTACAGCCCCAGAAGTAGTCGCCATCGTTGTATCTTCACGGTTCCATGGCCATGACTTTGCCGGGCTCTGTCCTAATCCAGCGGTACTCGTCTGTTGAAATGAATGTCGACCACTAGGAGCTGCGTCGGTCGCCACGTCTGACATTCATTCAAAGAAAGGTAGATAAAGAGATTACGGCCTGGATGGAGACTAAGGTAGCTTTCCCGTCCAGCTCTTGAAGTCCTCGAAGTAATAATAAATAACGAGCCGTCGGGGAACCTGGCGGTAGCGGGGAGGAAATCAGCAATGCGTCAGAGAGAAAAAGAGGTCCCCGTCCCGGCTGCCGGCGGTGGCGCTTCATCCAAATCAAGTTTGGACCCGGAGATAAGCATTATTATTCTCGGGTCTCCGCGATCTTTCCTCTCTTTACTCTTTCTTTGCTGCTCACATTCTTGATCTTATCGATCGATCGCTCCTCGCTTGTACAGGAAGAATGGCTTGAGATTTTATTTTGCTGTTTTTCTTTACGACTACGTACTATTTCTACGCCTTCTTCCCCGGCATTCTGCTGCTATATTCTCCGATTCAAAACCAAGCATCGAGCTATCGGCGAACTACCGCTTATCAATCCAAGTGACTCCGCCGTTGGTGCTCATCACGACATCTGATATATATGACCATAATGGAGGACAACGCCGAGCTTGAATCGTTTCGACGCCAGTGGCGAGAGGAAGTTGCACGCCGGACACATCATAACCGGCCTAGTACTACACAACGAAAATCGTCTGTATCTTCTGCCGGCCGGCCCGGCCACTTCCCTCCTACCCGACATACGGCCTCGGAACGTAAAGAGGAAGAAGACGACGGAGAAGGACTAACAGCGTTCGACCAGGGTGAAATCGCCCATGGTGTCGAACAGTTGAGCTTAGGAAGGGTAGATGAGGATGCTCTGCTCTCTCAGATACCGCGAAGAGAGCCTAGATCCGCCTTGGAACACTTTGAACGAGCGGTAGAGAAAGAGGCGGAGGGCAATTTGGGGGACAGCTTGCATCATTATCGCAAGGCATACCGGGTAATAATTCCGATGATTTTGGAGTATAAGAGAGTAACTAACCCGTTTATTTGTTCCCTAGTTAGATTCCGCGGTAGACAGGACATACCGTAACAAGCATTTTGCTGCTGCTTGGAAGAAATCCACACATGGTGCCCCAAAAACCTCAATAGTGACTGGCGCTCCGGCAAGTGGCCAAGATTCCCAAGATGAGCCAGTGGTACTACCTACTCCTGAGCTTATTGCCTCTTTCGCCCATCTGCCAATTCCTCGAGCTGAGCCTGAAATTGAAGGTACACCTCCGCCACCCTGCCCTATTGCGAACATTCCATCCGAGGTCCTACTAGTAATCCTTCGGCATGTCGCATTGATGGACCCTGCATCGTTTTGTCGGATGGCGTTGGTCTGCAAGCGCCTGGCATATCATTTCACCCATGAACAACACATCTGGAAACGACTTTGTCAGGGTTCCGAGTTTGGCTTTAAGTCGATGCATTATTCATTTGCTTGTGACATCCATGGCAATCCTGAGTATACTATGGGGCAACGCTATACGCCGTTTCCATTCTCAGTACCCGTGCAGATTCCTACGCCATTATCCTCGTGGAGCCAGGTCTTCCAGATGTTCCCCCGAATTCGTTTCACTGGTATATACCTAAGCACCGTCAATTATACTCGCCCGGGTGCCGCATCCTCATACCACAATATATCGTGGGACAGTCCCATACATATCGTCACCTATTATCGATACTTACGGTTCTACCCGGATGGTTCGGTCATTTCTATACTGACAACAGCGGAGCCGTTGGATGTTGTTCCTCACATCAGTAAGGAGAATATGAAAGCTGCACGCGCAACATTCTCGCATCGGCATCATCAACGTAATACGTCTGAGCCAGGTATCACTTTAGCTGGAGCCGCAGAACCGATACCCCCAGTCGCTATGTCCGCTTTGAAGGAAGCTCGTCGAGGACGTTGGCATCTTGTCAAGCCCCTTGCCGCTTCTGAATCAGAAGACGACAACCGCATACCGTCGGTTTCCGACTGGCCGCCCTTCCCAGTCAAGACAGTGGACACTCCTGCCCTGGATCCCAGAGATGTCGTCATTGAAACTGAAGGCGTCGGTTCAAAGTACACGTACACAATGCACCTGTCTCTCCGGTCGTCCTCTGGAGGGTCGAAGCCTGCCAACCCCACAGCCACACCAGCCAACACATC